AGGTTCAAGACTTGAAACACTGCCCACAAAGGACTGCCTCAGTCTGCAAAAGGCCAAACCAGGGCCTCACACATGTCCCTCACACATCCTACAGGTCTCCTGAGGCTCAAAGGCCACATTTATCTTTAAACAGAAAGGTTTCTATTAAAAGGGGAAATGGAAAGAAGAATGGTTCGCTGAAGTCCATAGGTTCCTTTAAGGAACCCACTGCTTTGCCCCTTTTTAATCATATGGAACACTCCTAACCTTTGGGTAAGCTAAGTGTTTGTCCAAAATGTATAAGGATTACATTTTGATGAAGATTTAGCCATTGGGATGCCAGCTTTTAACTTTAGAGAAAAATTCTCTTCCTCTGAGACCAAAATTTTAGGAACTACATGTCCACTAAAAACCTTCCCAAAAGTCTAAACTTTTTTTTTTTGTTCATGGACCCACATGAGTCCACTTCAACTCTTTAAATCCAGTAGCCTGCATGTCTTCTATTGCGCCTCTATTCACAGTTGGGAGTTACCCTTTTTGTTATTCTTCACCATCTGTCACTTGAACTGCTAGATGGGAATCGTCCTCCAAAAACTCTATCTTCAATCACCTTTTCTTCTTGTGTTCTCTGGTGCAGCCAGGGTAGTCTTAAAGATTTTGTTTCTTACCTACAGGCACTTAGTATTTCGCTCTGTCAGACAGGATTTCCAGCATTTCCTACTATTGTTGTCACTGACTCAGTTGTGCTGCTGTTCCTAGTGCTGGGAGTGGAGCACTCTGGGCTTTCCTAGTGTTTTATATTCCAATCCTTCCCAAAGTAGTCTTAGCAAATACATCTTTTACCCTGGACATCCTCACTTGTGGCAGAACTGAACCAGAAGTAGCAGTAGGATGAAATTTTAGTGGGGAAAACGTTGGTACAGTCACAGGCTGCATTTGGGATAGCCTCAAATGAATGGTACTGTACAAAAATATATGTGGTGTGGGGCTGTAAATATCCCACCCTCTTTGTTTCTCTCTAAAGAGAGAACAGCTATGTCCCCACACGGAGAAGGTAAGTACTGCATCTTTAAGGTCTCAGCAGTGAGGTAGAGGAGAGGAACATATTGTCAGTGTTTATACCTTTCTTCTTTGTTGAATTTGGGATTGGCTTCAGAGATATCCAGGCTTTTACTGAACATTGTTTTACTATGGCAGGAACAAAGCGAGAAAACAGAGTTACTAGTGTGGACATTTATAAAAGAGAGTCCCCTGAAGCAATGCTGGAAACCCAGCCCCCCAACCCATCCTCCCCTTTTTAAGCAATGCTCTGAAAAACCTTTCTTTAACTTTCCAACTATGGCTCAAGCCTACACAGTATTGAAGTTCATTATCTTCCCCTGACTTCCGAGGTCTAAGATGACTTCCCCCATACATACTTGTAAACCCTGCTCTCCTTTATCCAATTGAAAACCCAGGTACTATCTCCTTTGTCACATTGTCCAGGGAAAATAGAACATGCCTGAAGGCACAAATTGCAAAGTGCTCATTACTCAGACTTTTCTAGAAGACCTCAACACTAAGCGCAATCTGGGAAAAGAAGACCACAGAGCCTCTTAGAGGAACAGTAATCCATTTTGTATTCTCATTTGTAGGGTCCATTACCACTTACTCCCAACTCTCTTCCCTATACTCAGTGTATAGAGAAATGGTCTTCTTTATCGTCTTGGGTCTGAATCCCTGAAGCTTAGAAGCAAAATCCCCTATGCTTTGCTAAAGGGGCAGCTCTCTGTAATATGTTTCACTGCTAATATGCTTCACTGTTTCACAGAACACTGCTTCCTAATGTTAGCTGATCTTTCATGCAAGCTACCCACTTCAATAACCAGAAGAAAATGAATAGTTAATGAAGCCCATTTTAGAACAGGTTTTGGACTCTCACAGCAGAACTGCTGAAAATTTCTGGCATACCCCCAAGGGATTCTAGCTCCCATGGAATTCTTCCTAGTCTGTGTGATTTTGGCGCAAGGGACAAATTAGCTGGTGTTAAACTAAGCTCAGAATCTACCTCTTTTCTTTTGACATTTCAGTGCAATACCAGATAGTCTGAGAGGTGTGGATGCCACAACAGCAGAAGCAATTAAGATGTAATTATGAACTCGTTTAGTTGACAACTAGCAGGGAAAACCAAGAATTAACAAAACTTAGTCCCCAGTTTTAGGGTGGCTGGTGTTTGTGCATACTAACTTTGCCATATACAAAGACCCAATGGAAAACACTTGGAGAGGTCAGCACAAGCATTTGAAGGAGTCTGTAAGCTCAACAAGAAACCTTTGTGCTGAGTTCCCCTCCTCCATTATCCAAAACTAAGTCACTGAAGGACTATGTTTTCACTTAATACTTTCTCAGCCTGTAGGGTTGAAGGCTGCTAAGTTTCAAATCTCAATGGAAAGATATGCCCTTAAACAAACTAAGACCACACACTTGTAGGGTCCCCACACGGTTACCAAAAGCACAGTTCATCACACAGACACATAAACCAGAGGTTATAACATAAATCCCCTTTATGCAAGCAAACATCTGTTTACTACTGGGAAAGAGGACAATAGGACTAAATCACAAGACACATGGGTGCATTCTGCCCACTGGTTAGAAAAGTATATCTGCCAGCTCAGGAAAGAAGCAATGGCTCTGTGTTTCCAGATGTTTACACAAGTCATCTGTGTCTAAACAGGAGACCTGTTTCCATGATCCACCTCCCTGGCTTCCTAGTATTGTAGGATAAGTCATCTGTTGAGACCAAAAAATGTCATTCTTAGAAAAGCACCCACTTCTGGCATCTAAACCCTACTGCTGTAAAATTCAGTCAGTGGGTCATTTAATGGAATATAGTATGTGACTAGCCATTAAAAATCCCCCACTCTTGGTGGAAGGCATTTGTCATTTTCTTACTGACTGTTCTGACAGATGGTGCCCCATCAGCAATGCATCGTCCCCAGACAATCCCCATGCAGTGGTGTTCGTTAATGAAGCCAGTTCATGTTATAAACGACTGTGCTGCCAGCAACACAAAATGTGCCATTGTCATCTGTGGATGTGGGTGATATGAATTATGGAAGCTCACACATGGAGTAAAATAACATCTTCCCTTTAACCCCTTCCAAAACAAGCACTACCAAGCCCATCATCATCAATCATGGTGTTATTATATCCCTTTCTCCACCTTTAATCACACCTTTATGTCCAGCTCTGAGTTTTGATATGCATTGCCCTGTATCTCTTTTGTGCCTGACAGGTTTTGCTTCGTCCTTAAGCCGAAGCCCTTCTTTACTGATATGTAGCCTGGATATGTCTCTGCTCTGAACTAATCTCAGACCTTTTGACTTCAATTGTTTCCTCATGTGCAGAATTCAGTGAGACACTTAAAAGCAAAAGAAATACTTTGGATAGCAAGACACAGCTTTGCCTCTTCAGACTTTTGAATCCAAAGTCAAAGCTGAGAGCTGGAAGAGAAGGTTTCAGCTCTCAGAAAACTTCAGGATTGATCTAACACCTCCTATTTGTTCTGCCTGGTTGGACACTTACTGTAAACAGCTGCAGAGTAGTGCAACTCACAGGCAGCCTTGGGATGGGGGAAAGTGATTCACCTCTGTCTGGCTCTGGGAGCTTCATGGCCCACGCATCTACCAGGTACCAGATTAAACACTGCAAGCTGAATAAGGAATGAACAACTGTTTGTCAGTGTTGTGTTCATCCTTGTCACTTTGAGGCCTATGAGGAACACTGAGCACACCCTGTCCTGAACACTTCCTTTGCCCAGACCTCACATCAAAGCAAACCACATATTCAAGACAGGTTTCCAACCTACACTACAGTGAAAAGTCTTTATGGCAGTGTATCTCAAGGCCACATATCCAGTCTGAAATAAGTCCTAGCAGATTCTGGAAATCACCAGTTTTTCCTCACTGTAGATAAAACTGTAACAGTTGCCAGCCAAACCTTCCAGCAATTATAGGGGCCTTTGGACATGAAATTATTTCACTTTCTTCACCCAGTTCTCAGTCAGCAAAGGGAGTTTCTGGGCACAGCATGCTCTTTTTGAGCAGATCTTAACAGCTGAACAAAAAAATCATGTCATAAAGCTGAAACAGAAGTTACAGCATCATCAGCACACATATATGTGAAGTGTTCTTTTATACTGATTGATTTATGCATGTGAATCCAAATGCACGTGCTTCCCTTAGGCTATTCATGGGGACTGAGGAAGCAACTTCCACGGTTCACATAAGTGAACATTACTCTCCCAGAACCTGCCTTGAGGAGACACCATTTTCCTCTGCTGTTTCTCCACAAGACTGACACTTTCTTTGATAGAAAAGAGGCAAAATTATACATATTCCATCATTTTACAGGCATGTGGTAATTTATGTGGGTCAGATGCATGCTAGCTCTGATGGCACATTTTAGAGGTATCTACAGATGCCTCGACAGGGCTTTCCAGATTCAAGCTGTTCTGATAACATGGAGGGTGGGGTTCATCTCATTTAACTTCAGGTGCCCAAAAGCTAGGCACCTAATCCAAGATAGTCATCTAGATTCCTGTTATAGGCTATGGAGACAGAGAGGAACAACCAGAGGGTAATTTATCCTGTCTAAGATTGTTGGAACAGAGGACATATGTATCTGAGACCTTCCAAAGCCCTTGTCTGTCCCCATTGCCTAGAGTGACAGACTGTATCACAAGCTTAGACTGAATGCCTATGGTCTTGATAATTAAAAAGAGATGAGATAAATCTTGCCCAGAGGACGTGGTGGTTTCTTGAGCAATAGCTGCAAGTGAACACAACCCTTAAGCCCCTGGCAGGACTTCTGGTCCCGTGTGCATAAGCACTGCTGGCTGCCAGATCATGTTGCAAATGTGCTTGCAAGTTGTAATGAACACTGGTGTGACTAGAAAAGCTCCACAGCTCCTTTGTATGTAAAACATAAAAGGGAGTAGCAAACCCTGACAGGCAGGAGTCCTGGGTAAAGGAGAGACCCACCTCTGTCCATGTTGTGCCATTTCAATAGCTCTGCGAGCAGGGACTGGGGAGCCGCCATCTGTCACACTGAGAACTTCCATCGACTTCCTTTCTGGCCGCCGCTTCCCATGCCTGTTCAGCATTGGGGAGTCCACACGCTTCCTGGGGGGATCTTTATAAAAAGAAAACGCTGTCAGCTGAATTCGGCTGTGACTTACCTCACACAGATTGGTTAAATCCTCTCTCAACAATCTCACTCTCACACCTCCCCTACAGAGACAGGTATCTTCGTAATGGAGACCATTATTTGCAGTGTCTCCCTTCTTCCAAATTTGCAAACATTAAGACATAAGTTGCAATACATCTACAGAGAGAATGAGCACTGCTACTGTCATGAACGTACGAACACTGTAAAATAATGGTACGACTATAGCATAGTTTGCAGAAATTACCTTACAAAGCTGATAACAGTAATAACAAGATGACAGCATGGGCTATAGCACAAGCTGTTAGCCAGAGCCTAAGCCATTTAGGGATCCTGTATATGTACTCAGGTGGCTAGAGCTTGCCTTCGATGTCTCTGCTAGCTAGATTAAATGTGACAGAGACATGGGTACGCTCTGAACTCAGAATTACATTCTCCTCTGAAAACATACCTTTTTTTGCATCTTTAAGATTAGATTTCAGGTTTTCCCCACTGCTTTATATTTTTCCTCCTTCAGCATTACAAATTAAACATACCTGTCTACCTGAGATGAATCTCCAATGAGAGCTACTAAAATTTATCTCAGAGGTCATCGTACAGCTTTTACTACTATAGTAACTGAAATGCTTTACACTTTTTATTGTGTAACATTTGTGTAAGGTATTGAAGTGCTACTTTCACTTTGCAGAATGAAAACTGAGGTATAAGAATGAGATATTTAAAGTCAATGCATTCCTAAAGGTGCTGACAAACATTTACTGAGGTTCTGAGGAGCACCTAAATTGCTCTGAAAAGAGTCTTTAGATACAAGACCACACTGCAGAAAGTGCTCCTAGATGACTTGCCAAACCATACACACCTCCGTGGTGAAGCAGGGAACCAAATGTAGGCCTGCTGAGATGTTTTATTACTAACATCTCTCATAGCATCAAAACAGTAAAAAGAAGGAAGGCAGAAAAAAATTACAGGATTTTCTTTTCTTTGGTTGGGCTATTTCAGTTCCCTGCCTCTGTTTATGGACACATTTTTAATTTTAGCGGAGGGTGACCACCTGTAAAAAAAGGCATCCTTCACCTCTGCTGTTAGAAAGAAGCTCACAGTGCCCAGCCCCTAAGGCTTCATCCTCTGCCAGGATTCCTTTGTAAAACCAGTAATATTGTGTTTGACAATTCTACCTCTACTGCCTAGTCTGATGGTATTATTTGTATTATCCTGCCCTCCTCACACCCCCCATCTACTTGCTTGTTTCTTCTCCCTCTCATATCATGTTTCTTTGAACAAGATTCCTTTAAGGCAGGGCTTATTCTTGAAACAATGAGCATGAGCAAAGACAGCTCAAATGCAAATGGGCTAGTGATAGCAACTGACCCCATTACTGTATAACCCGAATATTCTTTGTATTAACAGTGGTAATTTTCCTGTTAAAAATCAATTAGAAAAAAAGCAGTTGTATCTCACTCCATTTCAAACTATGTCCAGTAATAAAAAGGTAGTAGAAAATACTAGCAGGGGTAATGACCTCCAGTTTAGAGAAAAAATACAGTGCATAAAGTTAAGCAAAAAACAAAGGGAGAACCTAATAAAGCAGTTATACTGGGTGACTTCAGCTGCATAAGTGGTCAGAAGTAAGCTGGGACAAGGTTTAGACATTTCAGACACCTGCTTCATCAAACAAGTTCAAAGAATGAGAAAGGATTCATCCCACAGGACAACTGCTGGTATCAGAAGTGTGGCTAGAGCTGAGTAACACACTAACGACAATGTAATTACATTTGGTATCAATAACAGAGAGTTGATACAAGTTTTTCAGAGGGATATCGGACATTAGAAAGGAAGGTGGAAGAGTGTGGTTTAAAAGAAAGGAAAAAGAAGGAAGAAGGAGGAAGATGAAGAAAGCAGGTAATGTCAAAAGAATGGAGATGAATAAGCTCAGACTATGTCAATGTTAGTTAATAATAGATTCTAAACAAGAAAGATGGAAAAAGGCAAGAAAAACATTTTATGAACGGCTACTTTAAAAGGCAATTTGATCTAAGCATGTTCAAAACAGAAGACTTTAGAAAATGGAAATTTAGCTGAGTGACACAAAAGTGACAGGCCAAATATAAGGTGGACATTAAAAGAGAGGGAAGAAGAAATTGGAAGAGGAATTAGCTAAAGACTTGAATTAAAGTGTTTTGTACAGCCATTAGAAAGAGAAAGCTTGAAAGAAGGACAGTAGCCAGAGGGACTATGAGAGAATCAACAGAACAATTAAGGAGGAGAAGGATATCGCTAACAAGCTAAATGGTTCTTTTATATCAGTCCTTGCTGCTGAAGATGCTGGAAGATACTGATTTCCAATCTAGATTTTAAACTGTCAAAGAGAGAGACTAAGCAAAAGAGCAGGTGGTGAAACACACGAATAAATTCAACAACAGCAATTCACAAAGGTTTGATGGAAAATACATCCAGAAGCTTGCATGAATGTGGTTGAGCTTCTAATAAAGGTATTTGATTCCTCTTCAAAATTGGCTACAATCCTACACTATACATGGCTGAGGGTACCAAGTATTGTACATATTTTTTAAAAGGGTCTGAGTAAGAAATGACAGGGAACTGAGTCTGTCATTGTCAAGTCTAAAGGTACTAAAGAAATTGTTAAATACACAGCCATCCTGCCATAAAGACTAAAGTGGTGTCATATAAAAGCAGCAGAAGACATTGCAGAAGCACAGGAATTAAAAATAGGAAAACCTCTGGTGTTTGCCCTTCTCTTCTTGACTTTCTGGAAATATTTCACATGGGGAAAAAAAATCAGGTCCTAGTCTGGATCTGTGATAGTTCTGGAGATGCATTTTCCTTTTATTTCTCAACAGAAAAGTGAAGCCATTTGTAAGGATTCTTACAGAAGACGAGAGAATCGTATAGGTAATGATCCAATTATAAAGGGATTGATCTGGAAGGTGGGAAATAAAGGTCAACTTCTGAGTTTGGATGAGGCACCTATATCTTATATAGCTATTCTGGCCCAAGCTCTTGTTCTCTGGTTTATTAAGAAACTCTACCCCACAAAAGCCTTTTCCTCAAGGAGACACTAGTTGACATTTGTTCATTTTATTGGGAAGTTTCTAATTTCTGTGTTTTCAAGTAAAGAAAATGGAGCTGGACTGGTAAGATGGTGAAGGTGGACCTGCCCTGGCCCTTTGAGAAAGCTTTATATAGCTGAAACATACAAAAGGGACACCAGAATAGAGTGCTAGTCTGAGCTGGCCATATTTTCATCTGCATCCACCCCTTCTGAGACCTAACATGCAAAAAAAGAGGAAAAAGCAAAATACTCTGAGATGAACTTTTTCTTTTTTTTTTTTTTTTTTGCAAGAGCTCAGGCAATGCACAACTCTCATAAATGTGGTTTCTTCAAGCTGCTATTATTAAATCTACTACCTTTTCTCTGCTCTTTGTTTGTGCAAGGCCATTGCTAATGGTTAATGACGAGATATTCATCAGAAGCATGACTGCTCTTGATTAAACCTTGCCTCATGTTCTCAGAGATACTGCTGGGAACAGAGGAGGTGGAAACCCCCTGTGGAAGAGGAAATACAACCTACAAACACTCAAAGAATAACGCTCAAAGAGTCTATAATGTGCCAATGAGGCACAATGATACATTCAGAGTAGTGTTTCCCCATTGGGGAACATTTTCACTCCTTGTACAAAAAAATACAAGAGTAGAGCATAATGTTTCAGTTCAAACCATGAAAATACTTTGGCATGTGGAAGAGATATATATGATGAATTTAGGGCATAGCTACATATTCACTTACATGCTGTATATGAAGATTCTAGAGTCACCTTGCTCCTTTTATTATGTCAAAAACATTTCTAAAACAAGATGATGGTGTCCTTACATTGCAGGGTAATCTGTTTGAGTCAAAAGCTGATTAGTAAAGTGCTGGATGACAAACTGCACTGAGCAAGGGGCTTTTGACCACAGGACCTGCAGCTGGCACATCTACCCATCTTCATCAGGATCCCCGCTAACACGCTCTCTGTAGCTTTGTCCAGGTAAGAGTTTAAAAATTACTGTGTTGACTAAGAATTTCCATCTCTTCTCCCATAGAAGAGATTTTCCTGAAAAATTATAGGGCCTGGAGCCTAGAACTTGGATAAGGTAGTAATTCAATGGAGTACTAACAAATTTAAGTTCCATATACCACTGCCCTGCAGGCATTGTGAGATTCCAGGCTTTTCAGTGAAAAGAGCGAGCACTTTTCTAGCCTTCAAAAGTGCTGAAATACAATACCTGCAAATCACAACACTACTATGTAAAAATGCTATTTCAGGTCATTGATAGAAGTGACTAATCCTTTATTAGTTAAACTTTTGTCACTCTGCACAACAAGAGTCACTTATATAGTTAGCTCCTCAGGGAAGCATTTTTCCTGTTGTCTAGATTAGTGAAGTCCTTGGTGATCAGCAGTACCCGAAAATACTAATGAACAATTCTTCAGGAACAAAGTGGTATCACCAGAGCTTTATAAGATATATATCTTACTGCATATAAAACTTTAAAAATCTTTTTAAGATAGTCTAAAAACATGGGAGTTTAATGCATGTACTATACACATGTATTACATATAAATATGGAATATTATTCATACTTTCAAAAGTGTATATATATATTTACCTACAGAAAAGAGAATGTGTACATATATAACTCCATAAGGATGCAATGCTACGCAGTTGTAATAGTTCAAATCCAGAAGCAGCATTTCTGCAATACTGCGTGTAGATTAGTAATTAGAAAATTCTGCCACTAGACTACACTGCTTCTAAACCTCATCTGCTTGCACAGATCCAGCTTGTGGGTCCACATGATATTTTTTAAGATCTGGTTCAAGACCAACTTGGATGCTTCTGCACTGTGAGACAGACATGTCCTGAAAAATGAAGCCTTCGAGTTTAACCACAGAACAGACCTGCCTGCCTCAGGCTGAGGATTCTCACCAATGCTGTACACCGTTTCAGTGGGAAGGTAACAGTGGTGCTAGGGTCTGGGTATATATTTAAAAAAAAAAAAAAAAGGTCAAGAGGAACTAGTTGAGATGGGTTCATGGTGCCAGAGGTCATATCTGTAGTACCTATTTCATTTCTAGGGGGAAGATCCTCATCTTCATGACTAGGATACCTCTCCTTCCGGTCAAGCAGAAGAAAATAAATCATTTTCTCTTGGTTTTCTCTGAAAAAAAGAAGAAAAATCTTTAAATTTGAAAAGAAAAAAACATCAACATGTAGATAAACCCTTCTCATCAAACAGTTACAGTTATTCTAAATAAGCTGGAAATGGTCATGTACCTGCCAGCTAGACACGCAACCCACAAAGCTTTTGAGAATCTTGCTGTCTCCAACAAGCAGCTAGGGAGAAAAGGAAGTATGATTCCCATGTTACACACACAGAATAGAGGCACAGGACAGACGAGGTAACATGTCCACAGGAAGTCCAAACCAAGAGTGGCAGCAAGACAGGTCTCCTGAGCCTCTAAGTGCTCTTTCCACTACGTGCCTCTCTTAACACCTCAGGAAATACAGCAGCTCTCAGGCATAAGCTTGAAATAAATACAATTCTGCCAACAAAGGCATATCCAACACAAATAAGAGCAATGATACCTCCCCATTTGGACCGCATGGCCCATCTTTTCAGGAAGTGACTTTGCCTGGCAGCAAGGGAAGAGACAGCACCATGCCTCTGTTGCTGGTCACACTGTGAGCTTCTGACACATGGTGCAAGAAAGGCTCAGTGCTTGCTCCCACACCTCACTGGCAAATGAGCAGCCAGAGGGTGCTGGTCGCTCACAGCAAGATACATGTTAAAGTGATCTCTACCTCTCCCCAGGTTTATAAGCATCCCAGCCCGTGGACACCCAACTGATATTAAGACTGAGCAAATGCTTACTCTTCCGACAACAAGTCCTGTAAGAGTTTGTTTCGGTCACGGAAGCAGCCTAACGAGTGCATGCTATCTAACACATCTGGATCAATATCCTCCAAGGAAGGGAGAGAACGAATCTGCACCTTTCGAGGGATTGGTTGCTCTGGTTCTGGCTCGTTCTTACCCCCTCTGCAGAGGAAAGAAGAGGAGGGAGAGAGAAAGGGGGCAGGGAAAGGAGGAGAGAAAAGAAACATGAGTCACAAATGAACCCATACTCTGAAACACAGCCTGCAGCAACAGATGGAAATAGCTTGGTAAATACTCACTGAGAGACCAGAGCTCACAACCAGACATACTCTTTTCAGAAGAAACCGCCGTGAAGGCTAAGAGTGACCAGCACCTTGCGGATTTGGGTCTTTAATGAGAAATGCCTGCGTTCAGTCAGGAAGGCAGTAGGAACTTCACTTACCAGTGCCCTCATAATTTAAGCAGCTGTTCAGCGTCCTAATGCCAAACATTTATAAAACACTACACGGTTTTAGAGATGCTGTCTCATCAGCAGGTCAGACCTCAGGCTATCAGGCTGAAAAGTGCAAGCTGAATGATTCTCTTTCAAAGAAGAGCGAACAAACCATCACTGTTTTTCATCTATTCTGACTACAACCAGCATTGCAGCAGATTCTTTCTTTAAAGTTTCCAATGTGATTAAAAGACCTCAGTATTCAAGTCCCCAGTTGACACACTTTAAAGGGTTTTTGGGGAAACCAGGCTGTTTATTTACATGCCCAAATACGCCAATCTCTGCTTCTCTTCAGACATGCAAATTTGAAAATTGTGGCCCAAGTGTGATGCTCGAGGTCAGTGGCAGACCTAGGAATGCACCATTAGCGGTAGAGCATATTACTCTTTTAAAAGTAGCTAACACAGGCTTCCTGCATAATTATTTCATTCCATTCACTAGACTCAGGAAATATTGGTTATTTACTGCAATTAAAGGCCCTGACTGTAAGGAACAGGTCAAGGTGTCAGGGTATCTATAACCAACTTGATATATATGGCAGGCACCCTGAATATCCTTTGATTTTGTTTAGGTAGGCAGCGAGCAATTTATGTAAAGTCTATCCACCCAAAGAGGTGGGTTTGGCAGTGGTGGCATCTTGGTTGGAGAATCTGTCTTCTCTGAATCTTTGCTACTTCTCAATGGTTGCTTTGTGCGATGTTGAGGGTTTCCTATTCTGTGGGTGAGGTCCTCCCTTTCCTTTATGAGATGTAAATGTGTGACTGTTGGGTCGAGGCTCCCAGGGTGGGCAACAGGAATCGGAAATATTTCAACTGCATCAGATGTCAGCGTTTGCTGTTTATGGGGCTGTGTTTGGGCAAGAGATTCTTCCTTTTGATGCTGGCAGAAATAAGGTGAACACAACTTGTGAACTTACACAGCTTAAAATGCTCTGGGCTCAGATGTGAGCTATCCAAGTATCTACACAGAAAAAGGATCTCCAATTCAAATGCACCTAATTTTTCTTGGGTAGGTTAGAAAGCAGCTCTGGTAGGATCATACACATGAGCTCAAGGTCTCAGCCAGTGTACCAAAAAGATAGCCAATGCAGATTATCTCCTCCACTGTAAGAAGGCAATACAAAGTCATTGCAGCCAGGGCTCTGATGCTAGGACAGGACAGTTACATGCTACACCTTAATCACAGGAGATTGCTGGGTGCTACTTGCAATTTAGTTTTTAAGCAAGTTGAAATGCAGTTGTGAGGCATCTGCTCTGTTAACCATGTTTGTGGGACATCACCTGTAGAAAGACTCCTCTTTATCTTCTCTTGAAGCAGTGAAAATGTGCTCAGCCCTTCCTGGATACATGTCATGGAGTCGGACTCTGGTGTGTGTTGCATGGGTCATGACAACATGGGTCAGATCCCACTTCTCTTACACTGAGCACTCACACACACCCTGCTCAGTTTTATTCAGTTTATGGGACTGGGAGCAGAATATACAGGACAGAGACAGAATGTGCTCCTCGAGATTCATTCTTGTGTGTCAAACCAGTAAAACACAGCTTCCAATGCCTCCATGGAGTCTTGCAGAAGTGCCTATGTCTTCTGCAATGACACCATGGTCCTGAATCTAAGGGCTAGATTCAAAAACCCTTGCTCAACTAAAGAAATATCTTATTCCTTGAGTGCGTTGTCTTTAAGAGGTAGCTACTCCTACCTCTTAGGATCAGGATCTAGCCCTCAGCGAGTAATAAGCAATGACTAGATCATAACCTTGCACTATTAAAGCCAGTGATGACCTTGTCATTAAGATAAATTCTTGCAGGATGGACCTTTGAACAGCAACCGAGTGTTTCTGGATTTTAATGATCTGGAGTTCACTTTCAAAAAGTATTGACTTAATTAATCATTCATTGTGTTACAAGCAGATGTTCCTAAGGCAATTTAAAGACATTAAGAAGAATTATTGTTTTCGAAAATTTCCAGAAAATCTGGGTTTCCTACTAGTTGCCTTAGTCTATAGCAGAGTATCACCTGTAAGCTTCTTTTATATCAGTCAGTGTGGGAGCCATTTCTAGAGAGCACAGCTTGCCATCTTCTCTGCACTGAAAAGTGGCTTTTCCTTATGCCCTGCACCTGGTCAGCCTCAGACATACTCAGGAATTTTCACACCTCCTCATCAGGTACAAGCAAAATCTGCAAAGAGGCTCTTCGTCATTTGGCAACACAATTCAGTGCTTCAGGAAATGAAAATCACTGGGTCTGGGCTGTGGTTGGCATGACTGTATTGCCTGTTCCATTCTCAGTCTAGGAGAGAGTGACAAATTTGTTGCATTTCAGCCCACACAGACATCAAACAATGTCACATGATGAATACTGCAAATCACGTATATTTTCTAAAGGCTCACATGAATGTAATTGCTGCTTTAAAACCCATTCTCTTTTGTGAGGATCGGTGCATACAATGGCTGTGATTCCAGACCAGGGCGGTCTTTTTCAGTCTCCATGCAATTCCCTGGTGAATCTCACCGAGACGTTCATTTGCATCAGTGGAAAGTAAAGCAGAACCAGTACAGTTACTCTTTTTCTGATTTTAGTAAATTTGGTACCTTCACAATTAGGGCAATAACTCAGTGTTACAGGAGTATGTATTTACCATAATATCTAATTTTATTTGCCCTCTTGCTTTATTAAAAAAATGTGAAAATAACTGCTGTTTATTTGCTGATTTATGATAACCTGTGCTTGAGGTAAAAATAAATTATTTCAATTAAAAAGGCTTAAAAAACCTCACTAAATTAATTTGGGTGGGAGAGCAAGAAGAACTGGAGGTTGGTGATGAAAGGTTTCTCTTTGGTTTCTCTTTTCCTTTTTTTAGGCTTGTGAATCACGATTTCAACTTTCAAGACCTCTTTCTCTGTCTGCCTAGTCTGCAGTTAAATCTTTTCTTCAGTTTTACAGTAGCCTTAGTATTTCTGTGAAGAATTAAGTGAAATCGCTTATATGTTCCGAGTATAACTTTCAGGTCAGTAACCTACATATGACAAAGAATGAAGATTTTACAGAGAATAGTAGTGTTACGTGAAATAAAATAAAAATGAAAGATGTGAGCAAAACAGCTGCAGAGTAAAACACTTATAACCCCTCCTTCTCTGTCAGCATCAACATTTCCAGGCAAAATGAATGCAAAGAGGCTGTGAAACATTACTAGATGAAAGTAGTTGAGTTTTGAATTTGGCAGGGTTATTCACAGACTAAATTTAGCCAAAGGAGGTTAACGTCCTTAGGTCAATCCATGGCCAGTATAGAGAAAATGAGAAAGAGACTCATTAAAAAAGCTGTTTTGAGCAGAAACTTCGTTTTAGGCAATCTGAGCGGAGTTCTGGAAGAGCCCTTCTCTCTCTGCATTGACTACACTGGGAGTCTAGGGGAGACTAGCTTTTGCAAAACTCAGTTTCTACTTCTGAAAACAGCCTCAGATGCCATTTCCATTGGGGTAAAAATCTGTTTCCTGTGTCAATCATCAGAGAGTCTGACCTTCATTGAGAAGTACATGAAAATGTTCAAATGCTTATGTCTGCAAAGAAACAAATCTTCAAATCCTAAACCTAGAATAAAGTCATGAAATAACACCTGCCTAATTCTGCATGTGAGCCTGGGACAACAGTCCTCCGACAGGTGAAAACTTCCAGGCAAAAATCTTGAGGAGGGTTAGAATAATAATGTAAGTGATCAATGACTTTTCATTTTATTTCCTATTCCAGTTCTGATCAAAGCACAGAGAAAGTTAGCTGATTTCTCTCCATGAAGAAACAGAGGGGGACAGCTATCCAGTCTGATGTAAACAGCATTTACTCCTGGAATTGCTAGTAAGACATTATAGGAGGGGTATTTTAGCGATTACAGTTAGAGATTCCCCCCTCCATTTCTCCTATATTTATTCATGAGTTTAAAAAAAAAATACTTGCAGCAAACAACAGTCCAGTCCTTTGGTTTAAAAAGGTGCCATGTCAACTGGTAACTGTAGAGAGCACGAAAAAGCCATGGGCAGAGTGCTGCCACCGTTTCAGGTGAACTAAGAAAAAACTATGTTATTCAACAAACCGTTGAATGCCCTCAGGTCCTATCGAAGTCACATAAATCCAGAAGTGAACATTGCCCATAAGATAGAATTAGAGAAAACAAAACAAATCAAAGGGTTTTTTTTTCTCTTGGTGACAGGCTTAAGTATCAGTTCATATCATCCTCAAGTATTTCCCAAGAGCAATGATAGGATTATGAAGGCAGGACTTTCCTTATTACCCACCTGGGGAACCTGTAGGTATGCTGACCCCCAGAAGCATGTATCAAAGAATCATTTCCTTGTTTAATATGTGAAGTATTCTCCTTAGTTTGATTAGGTTATCATCAGTATCAAAAAAAAAAAAGTTATTTACTTAGGTTTCTTGAAATACTATTAAGGCTACACAAAGTGCAAGGTCACTTTTAAAAGCCATCAATCTTCCTTATACCCAAACCACTAGACAGGCGCTTACTTTTCTCACAGACCTCCTGTTTTACTGTCAAGACTGCTGCTTTTAATCAAGTCACAGAACTACTCTCACATCAACAGGTTACAAGGTCAGAAGCAGCCTCTTAGCTTGCTGCAAAGAAGAAGCAGTAGGGATTATAAGACAGAAAAGCTCTTGTTCACAGGTGCTTACTTATCAATATCATCATTTTTGTTTCTACTTCAGAGAAAAGCCAAGATGCCAAGAAGGAACATATGAAAGCTTTCTCGTCAAGAAGGTATTACAAGGGATTGTGTGTAGCACTTGGATAGCAAAGAATTTCAAAGAATTGTTAGCCACTGTATAAAAGTTCCTGGTTTGACATATATATAGATGAAATTATGTGAGTAGAAAAGGGAAAAAAAAAAAAAAAGAACCATTAGATGCTTTTCTGTCCTTTGCCCCTTTCTCCACCTGTGTGAAAGCTGCTTTCAAACTCCAGTCTCTCTCTTCAGAGATTGCTAGAATATCAGGTCCCGTAACAGAATCAATAATGAATGCATGCAAAAGTGAATTAAGATTGTTACTTACATATACCATATGTGTTTCTGAATATGTTCTAGCTGTAAAGGAAAAGAAAACAAGGAATTAGTGCTGTAAAACAGAAAAGGTAACTCCATGAGACATCCCTATTCAAGGCTTATCAGGTAAGTCCAACATTCCAGAGCTGGACCTGTGCAAACAACAGGAACTTCACACTGAATAAAGAGCATGCTCATCCTCACCCACCCCACTGGAAATGAGACTATAATTCCGGACATAAGGAATCAGTCAGGAGCAAATCCCACAAAAATTTGTCAAGTACAAGGCTTCACAGGCAAGTGTTTTGGCAATTTAAATTTTTCCCTTCCTAAGCCCTTCCCCTCTATCACCTAACTGAAGCTAACAAACTGCTCCCTTCTGTATGTGCATAATAGCTGATTCTCTACATTGGAAGTTCATTTCTAGTTTTGTTTTGGGAAAAAAGAGAGAGAGAGAAGGAAACAGATTCAAACAGATAATGTGAATAAACAAAATAAATTGTCCATGTGTGATATGACCTTCTTCCAGGACCCGTTCTTGACTGGCTTCACATTTATCAATAAAATCTAAAGACCAAGTAGAATAAGGTTCTATGTCAGAAAAATACCATTTACTGTTCCAGCACCTGAGCACCAGGCTGCAAATTTCTTGTACTTCCCTCTTTCCTGTTTCACACATGAGCATTTTACTAATGTAATGAAGGACTGATCAAAGCTGAACAGTGGCCTTGTCCACCTATGGAAGGTAGATCCCAGCAAATGTCACATGATGACCATGTTTTCCACAAGCATGGAGGAAAGAAATTAGCACCCTTTTTCCAAGAGAAACTCTTAACAGTAGAGAGAATGAACTGTTCATATGACATACTTACAGCAGAACCTTTCTAATATTTTTTTTTTAAGCATCACCACAGTAGAAAAGAAATTTTCATATGTGCCCAGGGATTATTCCTTATGTGGACAATATTTCTCATATTCCTCATTATGAAGAACCTTTGCATGTGCAGAACAATATACACACTCACTGCACACAGGCTTGCGTTTGTGCAACACACAGGTGAGAGGCAGGGGAGAGCTGGAAGGAAACTCAAGTGCTAACAGCTACAAGATGAAATCACAGACCCATTAAACTGGTCAGGAAGAACGGAGACAGCTGTCCTGCTCTTGCTACTTTCCACTTAAACTCCAGAATAATAAGAATCAGAGAGAAAAAAAGAGGAATGGACAAACAAGAAATTCTCAGAGACAGAACGTAGGTGTTTGCCACAGAGAGCAAGGAATCAGAGACCTCTGTGCTATGGAACAACAGCTCCATGCCTGGGAAACCAGGAAGATCTGAGGTCAGCTCTATATAAGATAACTGAGACAGGTCTTTTCCTGAAAACAAAGAAACAAGGGAATGAAGCTTAGGAAAGCATGACAGGAGGCTGGAGGAATCAGTATGAGAGACAAACAGGTTCCTTTAAAACCAAGACTGTATCAACACTGCAATCAGAGGTGCAGTTGGTACTTGCATATCTAGCTGTCTTCTAACCAGCCCAGGTGATGGGAGCACCAGTGCTCCCCAGCACAGACATCTATGGGCCTGGGCAGACTTGCACAGCTTCCAGCTGTGGTGTCAGCTCTGCCACAATAATTCCCCTTCATCAGAATTCCCCTTGCACTAGGTAGTCCTTTCATCCCTGCACTATTAAGAGAAAGGTGGAGCATTCCTGACACACTGCCGTCTCCCCTGACCAGCTTAATTCAAGGAGATAAGATACACATTATAGGTGTTCTCCTAGCAGCCTGGAGACACAGCCCTCTTTCTCCTGGTACTTTGCAAGCTGAGGTACAACACAGAACATAAGAAGAGTCTATTTTGTACAGTTTCCATGGGACAGGATTTTAGCATAGTTATTTATCAGGTCCATAGTACTGTACCTCCTTTGCTTGGTAAAACCACCCTATGAGATGCATACCTACTCGTTATTTCATATACACCACGTGGACGGTTAGAGACATTAATGATTTCAGACAAGATGCAGATGATACAGCTAAGCGATGTCCAAGCCTCTTTTGTGCTTGCTTCTCCTGCTGCGTTTCCTGTTTCCATGGGTCACATTGTTCTTTTGTGCCTGTGATATGCAGAAATGCTATGGCAAAGCAGACAACAGCACTTCATTTTCTGAGTCAGAGAGGGGGAAGAAAGGAGGGTCATCAGTTCATGTCTTAGTCACAGAACCTCTGGGCTCTTTCAGAGAAGATGTCAAAGAGAAATCCCTTCTGTCCATCCCTGCTGATCAATCTCCTTCAAGCTAATGAACACATAGCATTTTTCTGAGAAAGAAGCCCTGTAGCACCTTGATATACATTCAAAGGTGTATGAGAGCTCTCATGGCTGCTGTTTACCTACACATCTGCCATTCAATCCACATCAAAACCATTGCTGTGAAGTACGCTGGGATATCCCAGATATGAAAACTATTCTACAAAACCAATTTCTATTCTGATTCAAATGTAATTGCATTGAAATGTTATTACAAGTGTGCTTGCTACTGCCAACATCTTCACTGCTTTTTTAAAGGTAATTAATTAATGCTTTGTTGCTTTTCATCTGCATTAAAGTGACAGGAGGGTTACGGGAGGGCGATTGGTTTTGACAAGGAGAAGTCTGTATGCTTTTTACTATGCAATGCAGGAGAGGGAGATACACAGTGGGAGCTAATCTCACTCCTCCTGCCTTCATTTAAACACAATGTTTAAATGCATTTAAGTGACGGAAGCATTTAACAACCCTTCCCAGAGGGTTCTTCTTGCTGTTTGCACATGAGTTTGCCAAATCTAATGCCATTTTATGGAAGTTGTAAAATTGCTGCTTCCTAATATCTCCTAGCCACCGCAGGCAATTGTCTCATGATGCCATCTCTGAAACAACAAAACATGCTCAGATCCATTGCACATGCACAGTCAGATGAAAGACTTCTGCAAGCTAAAATGCTGTAATGGAAGGAGAGGGGGAATTCCATTATCATGGTTTTATGTATATATATATTAAACTTGTATACTGAAGTAGCATCTATGAGCCCCACTCACAGATAAGAGACCCATTGTGAAACAGAGCTGTATAAGCTCATCAGAAAAAGAGGTCTCCTCCCCCAAGGAGCTTACGTCTGAATTCTAAGGCAGGGAACAACAGATGGAGACAGACAGGCAGATGGGAAACAAGACAGCGCTGTCTACATCCTCGGCACTGATCTCAGCAGAGCGGTTGCCAAGCTAAAAAGTTCTGACCTGACGAAAAACTTTCTCGAAGTCTGTGGATATGGATGAGGGCTTCTGGGTTTGAACTCATGCCAAATTTCAAACTTCCCTGTCCAGAAAGGGAACAGTCTCAAACCCATCTGTGCACTAAATCGACCCACACCTCAGATTAATTTTCTTCATTCAGAAGATCCTCTAGTCTGAGATTTAAAGCTACTGTATAATGTCAAGACAGAGGCTTTTCCTGACCAAAGGATTCAAGCTGGCAGTGTAAACAGCACTAGTAAAACCATTATCTGTGTCAGTAGTAGCAGTCGTACTATAGCAGCCTCCCGAGACCTTGACAAGGGCAAGGTATCACTGTACTACATGCATGGTGCATGAACAGGCCCTTGGCAGCCAAAAGCTTACAGCCTAAATATGTCAACTGGACAATCATTTCCATTCTACAGGTGGTGAAATGAGATAATTTAAATGATGTGATAGGCACCTTACCATAAGACCTACAAAAATGAAGAAGGAATCAGGAATCAGAAGGAACAAAAAATTGTTCATTTTTTTTCATATTCTTTAGATGCTGTGGTCCATCATTAGCATACATTAGACCCAAGAAAAACAAAATCAAATGGAGAGCAGAGAGGAGATTCTGAAAATGTGTGTAATTTAAGTTGGATAATATTCAGGGACAGGTATTTCAAACTACATGGACACCCAACACGGAAGACAAGTCATTCTACTCCAGAATAAAATGTCAACACCAGAACAATAACAGCTTTATCAGAATAGCTTATTCTGCAATATCTGCTCTGATCCACCTTGCTCTAGAGACAAAGTTTCAATAATGCTCATTCAACTTTAAAAGGAAAGTGGTTAAAAAGCTCCTTTGTCTCCCCCCTTTGCTTTTGTGTTTCTGTAGAAGAAAATATCAGCTGAGAATGCAAAAGGATTCCACTACAGGAGCTGTAATTCTCAGCTGTAAAGATGCTGAATCATTTGAAACCTCCAAGGCAAAAACCATCCACTTTCCAAAGAGCACATAACTAAAAGAAACCTCATCCTGCAGTACTGAAGGCACCAAGAGCACTCATTCTCTTCCACAAACCTTCTCAAACTTAAAACTAGTTCACTTTTCCCTCCTGACACTACTCCTATTAGAAAGCTGTCCCAGAACCCCACTAATATGGCTAAAATGCTTCTTCTAGTTTGTAGCCTACTTTCATGCAAGGCCATTTGAGATACATTTGTTTTTGTGCCAGTATCTTCCTCTAGTTTAAATAATCCTTCTCTCCCTGGTAATTACATCTAATGAATATGCAGACAACTAGTAGACTTAGACTCTTAGACTCTGTGTAGACTAAGTGGAGCTCTTTTAGGCTGTGCTATTCAGACAGGCTCTCTCAAATGCTGACCACCTTTGTACTCATTCTTTGTTTGATTTTGTCTTTCCCGAACACGGGTGGTCAGAAATATCATGATTTAGAAATATCATGAGTAGCTGGGATCAACTTCTGCAGTCTACTGAAAGGAAAACATGGATATTTTTATTTCAAAGCATGTTTAGTAAAACAGTCCCAGTAAAGGAGAGTGGTCAAGGACATCCCGCTAACCATATTCGAGGCTATGTAATATATGGTGAGCATGAACAATATTCCACTAAGACATAATAAAGTCTTCTTTCCATAAACGAATCATATACAAAGAAAGGTAATGCCTATTTCTTAAGGCAGGAAAGGGCCAGCAACAATAATTCTGAGTACCCTCCTCTCCATTAATCCTCTCAAGCTCTAACACTGAAGCCGAATGATGACAGTTAAACGTGAATGCTAGTTCTGTTTTTGTTGATCATTTAAACAGATGGACTGGGGAAGGTGTGGGTGTGCTGTGAAATGGCAATTACTGCATGGAGGGAAATGCAGTTAGATGAAAAGAGATACAAATCAAAAAAAAGGAATGAAGCAGAGAGGGGAAGGGAAAAATGAAAGAAAAAAATTCTAGTGACCTTACATGTCATTATGTTTTTCTGCTGAATTCACCAGTGAGATATTGAGCAAATGATCAGTAATGGTAACAGCTATATCTGTACTGATTGTACCCAAGCCACAACTTCACTCAGATCTTTGTGTAAATATCAAATTGATTCAAGTGGGATATTTTCTAGGAATAGAAGCTTCCAAATAAACCCATATTTATACCCTTTTTCACAGGACACAGCTAAAGCAGAATTCAGATCTCTCCTCAAAATGAACTATATATTCCCAGCTCCTGTGTGGTAAACAAAGAGCTCCCTTTTGCCTGGCAATCTAAGCAACCGGCACGCTAACAGCATAGAAAGGGAAGTGTGACAGCAGCAGGGACAGCAAACTGAGATACCTTAAAATAATGAAAATAAGATTGCAGCTAATAACAAAGAGCTATCCTTTTTTCCTCCCACCTCTCAGCTCTTGAATACATTTTATTTCAAATTCTTACTCACAATTCACTGGTTAGGGCCTATCAATAACTATCCGATCTAGGTTTTTTTTTTCCTCCCTAAGGAAATATGAGCTTCATTTTGACCAAGAAAAGGGGAGGGGGGGTGTGTGTGTCACTCTGGGACCTTGATTTACCTTAACTGTTTTCTCTCTTATGCATGTACATTCTCTGCTGTATTGCTCAATTCAAAACATTTAGGGACTACGCTCTATGGAACAATTTGAAGAAGATCTAACATCTGATGATCTGCTCTCTGGCATACTCAAACCATCGACACTAAGATCTTTGAGAGAAAAAAAACACAACAGAAAAACTGTTATGTTTACATTACGGAAAAGAAAATAAGCTAGAGAGGGACTTGGTGACTTTCTTGGTTGTGAAGAACAGCTGTCTCATGTCTCAGGGTACAGCCCTAAACTCTGCAGTGTTCTGTCCATGAAAATACTTGGAAAAATATTATTTCTTTAAAAATCTGTTTAAAAAAGGCCTTTTAAAGTGCCTAATATTTTTGTTATTTTTTTCTTCCAATCAGTGCTACTTACGTACCGCAAATGTGATGGCTACTGGGTTTGCAGAAGTAGGGATACTAGTAATAGCATGAAGAACTTTTCACCTACGTCACCAAATAGAGCATGACCTGGTTTTGTAATGAATGAAAGCAAAACCCAGCTGCAGCTGTCAGGTAATACTGTAAAGAGAGTTGTGAAGGGAGTTTCAGTTCACTTATTAGCAGACAGGTGTCTGCATCCCCAAAGCACCATCACAGCTGGTGCAGAGTGATGCTGCTGTTAGCAATCTCAGCAGAGAGGCCAAGCACTGATCTGAGAGTTTATTTATAAATATTTTAGCAGACTGAAGAACCAGGAGGAGTTTTAAATTTACATTTCTTTATAGATACTCCCACTCAGAATCTGTGAGCTTAGTAAATCTGTATAAAATCATCATCAGAGCCTGACAATAGGATTTACAAGGGCAATGTACCCATACAGGCAGAAGCCTCCACTGACAAGCAGGCAATCTTGCATTCCAAAATGATTTTATTTGCTAATTTTTTTTAATTCCCCAAAATATTAACACAGTGTTAATGAAGGATACAATCACTACACAGTGCTCACCCTTGCAGGGTCTCTGTTGTGATGGGATGTATCCTAGAAGCAAAGACTCAGTGCTGAATGCTAGGAGCTCAACACTGTGGGCCTAATTGTGCTCAGGACCAGAAGGCACAAGATGAAAGAGCAGACTAGAAGACACTTGCTCTGAAGGCTGCTAGAGGATAATACAGAACATATGCAGGACAGAATACAATGCAGGTTGCATGGCACGAAGTGAGAAGCCATCACTTTTGTCAGAAATGTAAGAAAAGCATACCCTGTTTAACAGCAAAGCTTCAAATAACAGTCTGTATTGGGTTTGTGTGGCAAGGTTTTGGTAGTGGGGGGCTACAGGGGTGGCTTCTGTGAGAAGCTGCTAGAAGCTTCCCCCATATCCCATAGAGCCAATGCCAGCTGGCTACAAGATGGACCTGCTGCTGGCCAAGGCCAAGCCAATCAGCAACAGTGGTAGCGCCTCTGTGATAACATATTTAAGAAAGTGGAAAAAAAAAACCCCAAACCCACCAGGACACAAACTGCTGCTGGAGTGAGAATATGTGAAAGGAACAACTCTGCAGACACCAAGGTCAGTGAAGAAGGAGGGAGAGGAGGTGCTCCAGGCACCAGAGCAGAGATTCCCCTGCAGCCCATGGTGAAGACCATGGTGAGGCAGGCTGTGCCCCTGCAGCCCATGGAGGTTAATGGTGGAGCAGATATCCACCTGCAGCCCATGGAGGACCCCACACGAGAGCAGGTGGATGTGCCCAGAGGAGGCTGTGACCCCATGGGAAGCCTGTGCTGGAGCAGGCTCTTGGTAGGACCTGTGGACCCATGGAGAGAGAGGAGCCCATGCTGGAGCAGGTTTGCTGGCAGAGCTTGTGACCCCATGGGGGACCCATGCTGGAGCAGTCTGCTTCTGAAGGACTGCACCCCATGGAAGGGACGCACGCTGGAGCAGTTTGTGAAGAACTGTTTGTGTAGCCTGTGGGAAGGACCCATGTTGGAGAAGTTCATGAAGGACTGTCTCCTGTGGGAGGGACCCCAGGCTGGAGCAGGGGAAGAGTGTGAGGAGTCCTCCCCTGAGGAGGAAGGAGTGGCAGAGACGACATGTGATGAACTGACCGCAACCCACATTCCCCAATCCCCCTGCGCCACTTGCGGGGAGGAGGTAGAGAAAATCGGGAGTGAAGTTGAGCCCAAGAAGGGAAGGGAGGGATGGGGGGAACGTGTTTTAAGATTTGGTTTTATTTCTCATTACCCTACTGAGTTTTGATTGGCAATAAATGAAACTGATTTTCCCCAAGTCGAGTCTGTTTTGCTTGTGACGGTAATTGCTGAGTGATCTCCCTGTCCTTATCTCGACCCACGAGCTTTTTGTTATATTTTCTCTTCCCTGTCCAGTTGAGAAGGGACGTGATAGAGCAACTTTGGTGGGCACTTGGCATCCAGCCAGGGTCAACCCACCACACAGTCCTAACATTTTTGACCTTCAAACAGTTATATCATATCCCTGACAAACTGCTGTACCAGCTGAGAGAGACAGACAACTCAGGTGGACTCCAAAATGTGCTACTGGGTCAGTAGCACTGTGATGACATTATGAGGGATTTCTTCCAAATGCCTACGGTTACAGATGAAGGAGAATTATGAGGCTGGAGAAGAGACGCAAAGGTAATCTGCCCTCATGATTCAAAAGGGAAGGTAACTAACTTCTTCCCAAGGACTCCACCAACTCCACTCATTCTTTGCTCAGGAGGAAACACACAGGAGTGGCAGCAAATCAACAAGTTACCTTAGCTATTCAACCGTAACTGCAACAAGGTGACAAATGAAGCCTTGCTCACACAACTCGCAGCAAATGCCTTCTTACCGTCAGACGTTTCGAGGCATCCACTTCAATCATCCCCCGCAAAAGGTTTTGACAGTCTGGGGGGATAAAATGTGGCATGTGGAACACTCCACGTTTCACCTTCTCCAACAGTTGCCGCAAGTTGTCGTCATCGAAAGGCAGGGCACCCTGCAGGGATGTGACAGAGTGGTGGATGGGAGAGACGAGTGAAAGGGGATTGGAGAGGGCAAAACGAGAAAAGCCAGGATAAACATTGTGAGAGAATGGAAAAGAGGAAGTCAGCTCATAATGAGTTATTATATTAAGTGAAAAAACCTTTTTATCCATTGAAAATAAATAATTTCTTAGTGCTGCTCTATTTTTTCCAACATAGGAAACAAAACTGAGGACAGAGTTTTTTTATTAGACCTTTAATTAGAAAATGACTACCAGTATAAAAAATAATACAAAATATGAAATTGCCTTTCCAGGCAAATTTACCAAAGATGCATGGATTCACTTGAATTCAGCTCAAGCTTTTGATCTGCTGGTATTTCTCCCGGGCATACTTTCACAGCAGCAATGTTTATCGTCTCCTTATTTTTAATCTTCCTGAGACACATTTATTGCAGACATTGAAAAGGAGGTGAACAGCATTTGAGAGACTTTCAGTAAAGAACATCCTCTTTCTGATAGAGCAGTGAAATGACACAGCTGAAAGAAACCCTAACCAACATTAGCCTTTGGAAGCAGCAGACATTCTACCTGTTTAATACACTCCATCCAGTTCCCATGCTGTGGTCAGGTCATCAGTTCCTATTGCTTCCCTACTGTAGCTCACTTACATGAATGGCTTGAGGTTTTTTTAGCTGAAATTATGTTTTGAATAGATCATCAGCTTGCCACAAAAAGCAGCAAAAGACCTATCCTTGCTGCAAGGACAAAAAGGAAAAAAAGAAGTTGAAATCTTTAGGATAACTCCACTGACTGAAGCTGATACCCTTTTATAGCAAGTCTGCACCTTCTTAGATATTCTCACTTCCTTCTTTCACTGTCTAATTCTAGTAGGTGCCGAGCCTCCTTGATTTCCAGGATGGTTTGTGGGAAGCTGCAAGCTGTCAGCTGCTGTGATAATGAAGCTTTAAGTTGTCAATTCTGGCACTGCTCTTACTACAGTGAGTAGTGCATCTGTATAAGCAATCCTGCGTCTATGGTTTAGAGAGACCAACAGCTCCATTTACAGAAGCCTCAGAAAGCCCACCTGATGGCAACTGCTACTGGGCACTACTGACTGTTGTTTGTTCATTTAAGCAGCCTTAAAGATAGAGCCTCGCTGTCTTTTGTAACCAATCTCCTGAGTTACCTACTTTTTTCCTAACCGTTCCAGACTTAAGGAAAATCAATTCTGACAGTTCAGTACTTTGGCTAATGCAATTTAAGGCACGATGAAGTCAGCAAGGCTGCTTTGTGGCATTTCCTGAAGGTAACAACTACAGCTCTTTTATTACTACCACCTGCTGTTATAGCTTGAGACTTTTTGTAGGGTTTGTCCTAACATAATTAACTGGAGAGGTCTGCACTCTCCATCATTAATAGACTTATTTCAATCGTTTTGCAGGCTCATGTATATATGTAGGAACAGATGAAGATGCAGCAACAGAGAGACACCAAATCTTGACAGAGAATTGCCCTGAAAATGAAAAGCCCACTCCTACAAACCCTAACCATCTTGACACATTCTCTCTTCTATTCTTAAAAGTGCAAGAAGTTATATTAAAAGCTCATTATACAGTTCTATTTTATCAGCCATGAAAACAGCTGCCCAGGAGCAATAGATGACCAGGTGCTATCCAGCGAGATAGTTAAAATTAATCCCTTGCAACATCAAGATAAAAAAATCTAAAACTTCAAAAATGTTAGTGAATTGTAATGACTAAAAAGAAAAAAAGAGTAAGATTGGTTAAGGTGAATTAAAGCATCATACTGAGATTACTTCAAGGTATTTTGATTCAGGCCATTAAAAAATTATCAGCACATTTTTTGAAACAAAAATCCTTTAAAATTTTCAAGTATTTTAAATAAAATAATGTGCAGAATCTAACTCTGATTATACACTGTACAAATGCTTTTGTCAAAATTAAGCATTTAAGTGAAGTAATAAGGTTTGCTAATAAATGTACAAGGACATCAAAATTTGACTTCAGGCTTGTTATTTTTATAATTGTAGGTGATCATCTGAACTATTATAGATACAAACTTAACATGCACATAAATTCTATTCCCATATACAGTATTCAATATGCACATGGTATATGCTTATATGAACATAAACTATATTTTCCTACATTATACTATGGAAATTGATAACAAATGCCAAGCCTATCTGCCTTCAGCTGGACATCCAATTGTATGTTTAGGAGTATTACATTACCACTGCAAATGAGAATAAATTCAACAGAGAATTGAAACTTTGA